CTTGCTTGAAAGGATTATGGCTATCATACACATAGAGGTTATTTCGCGAATTATCAAGCATTCCTTGTATACTACGGATTAGAGTTGACAGTGGAACAGCCGAATGCATGAAAACGTTCGATGTAGCAAATTCTCTGAACGATTCATGTGACTCGGTAACCTATCATGAAATATGTTCAAAATCTGACCGAATAACACCACATCTGTTGGGTGCATCGAATGAATGCTTGACCATAGACATGAAAAATCAATGGGTCATCACAAACACAATAAATCAGCCAACATCTGCATAAATCCTAGTATGCTTGAAACGGAAGTCAGGTTATAACTTACTTAACGAAATTACCAGTGGTATAGTTACAGGATTCAGGAGGTTTAATGTGAAGGCGGTATCCATCACAGGCGAATGCGTTAAGCATTCAACCAATGGGTTGGATTTCGATGGTACACAGGTTGCCGCTTCTGTCACTTCATGAAGTAGACTGATTATCCACCAAGTTCTTCACTTGACATCCACTTCACTTCCGACCGACTAGCCCCACTTGGAAAAATGCTTGATAGTGTGTTCTATAATTAGGCATAAGTAACGCCTACGTCTTTCTAACAGAGGGATTCATTTATGTCGCTTACTGTAAACTAATTCTAATGAAATGATGTCCATCAAAGTCGTAGCTTCATCATGAAGACCAACAAACGAATATGTATCTTATGAGATATAGTCTCAGGTATAAGATTTAACTGTTTCTACTGTAATGTGATGATATTACGACTGGTTGTAGAAGGATTTCTAGTCTTCAGTCTTTTCCTTTCTTCCCTTTACACACTGTTGATTTATCACAGTAGACAGCGAAATGAACAGAATCAAAGTTCATTGGAATTGATAATAACATCAATCAGTGTTTTTGAGATAGATGGAGAGTTGTATATTCTCAAGTGAGATAAACGCTTACAGCGATAAACATGAGAATAAAGTTGAGTGGAAATGTTTGATGTAGTCGACTGGAAAACAAGACTACACAACCAAACAGTGTGGCAACAAGGCTGAAAAACAGAACAGATGAATTATGTAGTTTAATTTGGCAAACACAGGTGATGATATTTATTATTTCGGTAATTACCGTTTGGATATTGAGATGAAGCGGTGGATTGAGCTGAAAACAACTTCTTCCAATTCGGTTCTCTGTCAATGCCTGTATCCCAATATAAACCTGTTGATAATCAGCATGAGGATGTCAATTTAACTACTGCTTTGTCTGGTAGTCGTTATAATATCAAGTTTAGTAGATGAACTGATTGGTGTCATGTGACGATAGTTTTTAGGTATTTCTGTGTGTATTGTCGTGAGTCAATAGGCAGGCAGGCAGGTATGTTTGATGCAGATTTCGTGCTGGTCGGCTCTCACCTAAGAGAGGCATATCTGCAGTCATTGATTCGAACGCGTGTCACACAGTACTAACGCGATACAGTTTAATACCGAGCTATTCCATTTGACACCGGGATACAGCACACCACAGTGTTGTTTTACGTTCCTTAATAGCTACATTTCCAAAGTAAATTCACGGACACCAATCAAAGCTGAATGTCTAATCAGTGTACAAATGCATCAGTTACCCACTGTCAATTATTCTATTCGCACCTGATTACAACGAAAGGTGACGACGATCACCAGCGATCATAATAACGAATTACAAAGACGGAAACTGATTAGCTTACGGCAGACAGAAACTACACAAACCAGACATCCCTCTACGACCATTAGTCTCACTTTCTGGAACTCCAACACAACATATCAAGAAAACTTCCGAGAAGACTGAAACACCTCGTCGAATCATGTGGACACTCCATAAAACCATTAACAGAGTTCTTAGAAATGATCAAAAGTATTAATATACAAAACGACGGATTAATGGTATCCTTCAATGTCACAGCACTATACACATCCATCGAACCCCAATTGGCCAAGGAACCTATGTCCCTCCTGCTCATTAAAGACATAAGCCTCACAGAACGCACAAAACCTGAGTTTTCAAGCCTGGTGGAACTCATCGATCTATGCCTGACAACATACTTCCAATTCAGTGGCAAGACATACAAACAGATGTAAGGGACTTGAGTGCGGTCACCAAAATCTCGAATAATTGCAGAACCAGTGATGCAAAGAGAAAGAGTGGAAGCCATCATTCTATCGTTGATTAAACCAAAAAGTCTGGATTCCATATGTGGACGACACTTTTGTCATCATTAAAATAGATGATGTAGAAAACACACAGTTTGATCAACAACGTTTTCAATGACATCAAATTCACAGTGGAGAAGGAGCCAAACAACCAACTATCATTCCTGGATGTTTTAGTCAGTAGGACGAATGTCGGAAAGCTGGAAACCCAAGTGTACGGGAAGCGAACACACGGTAACTGATCAAATCCTCAACTACAGTAGCAGAACCCAACAACGCACAAAATTGGTTGCGTGCAGACTCTATTCGAAAGAGGGAGAACACACTGCAATAGAACAACTTCACGGGGAAACGGAGAAAATTACTTGATGTCCATCCTAAAGAAGAACGGCTACCCACGAAACTTTATCAGAAGATGCTTAGCTTATCCTGCACAACATCAACTACAAAGCCATCGACAGAAATCAACAGACGCATCATCCCACTATACATAAAGGATATATCAGAAATCATGACAAGATTACTGAGGCTACTTGGTGGAATTGCTGTGGCCCATCAACCAACAAATTCCCTCCAAACACTATTGTGCAGACCAAAGGATGCAACAAGCAAAGAAGACAAAGGGGAAGATCATTTAGAAAATCGACAAAAATAACTGTAGTCAAGACTACATTGGACAAAGTAGTCACCCTCTTCGCCTTCGTCTGCATGAACACCAATTAACTATTAGACGTGAGGACATTTCATCACTCATTTCAGTGCACGTGGATAACAACTATGGACATGAATTCGATTTTGAAAATGTGGAAATTTTGAACCGGGAGAGGAAACACACAGAATTTCAGGGAATTCCTAGAAGGTTGGCATTCAGATCAGTCAGTCAGTCAGTCAGTCAGTCAGTCAGCAATCAATAGATGTATTGAGAAAGACCCAATCTGTCAAGCGATGAGAAAACTGATGAAGGACAGAAAGGTGAGAGGTGAAGCAGAGGAGCAGTCAACAGGAAAGTCTATTCAGTCAGTCAGTGACACAACAATCAAAGGAAACAATCAGTTACAAATCAGTTATTCAGGGCAAGCTACTAACTCACTGACGGAGAGATATGGGCCGCTCACTCCATACTTGAGAAGACATCGCTTAGTAGATAGGTCTCCAAATTCATGAGAGCGTTGAAAGTTCTTTCTCAATTCAGCGCACACACCGTGTATCAGCAAGAACTAAAGTGTATGAAAGAGTTAATGTTTCAATAATAGATTACACAGATCTGTCACTTTCTACTTCTCATCAGCATCTTAACATCTTAACCCTGAAAAAGTCAAAACAATCTACACATTTCATGGGACACAAGATATTTGTAATATATACCGTTGACTTATTTGCATGTTTAATTAATCACAACAACGAAAGATTGTGATATATCAAACAGCTGATAATCCAACTGTGACTAGATCATTTCAGCTTGAACTGAACGATAAGTAGTAGTAAATTATTACCGACACTCTACTCTGTCTAATAATATGGACTGAAACGTCTCATCTGAGAATGTATGAAGTTCTCTACATGACTGAGAAATCACAAATCGGAGAGGCTATCAGCAATAGATTGTGAAGAGATCAATGGTGTTTCCTACCGTAGACGATAACTCTACAACCATCTATTTTAGCTCAGTGGACATCAACATGATAGAATCATCAGTTTGTCAGGAGAATATTGTTGAGTGATGAAAATGTCAATCATATCAACAGATAGCGATAATGACATGAAGAGTTGCATGAATTTCAATTCAATAATGCCAAGTAGATAGGCAAATCCACAGAGACTGCTACATATATATGTGTAGCAATGTTTGGGATAGTTAGTGATCGAATCAACTCAGTTAATGAATATTGACTGGAACTCAAGTTCATGAGAAGCAAGCATAATTCGATGATGATAAAATTTGCACAGTTCGATCATTTATGTACATATATATAGTAATTTGAATTTTACTTTTTATCAGAAAAGTGCAAAGTTTTCTCGCTAAATCACTGAGAAGATCGAATTTATCTGAGGCGTGTAATTTATTCGCACAATACGCATTGAATATACAAAAGAAGATTGGTGAATACGGATTTATCGATGCTGGATGACAATTGAAGGTGAAATGGAAAGGAGGATTGTGGCAGGATTTCAACCAGCAGCCTTTGAGTTACCGGCACCGATTAGTTCAATATCTGCTCAGAAACTGGATCTTTCAACTGAGATGGTAGAGCACAAACCATGTCTGCATCTCACATCTACTCATCACCCAGCATTAATAAAGCGAGTCATTCAAACCACTGCTATCTCAGATAGTCTAAGTGAATAAGGAAATACTCATAGAAACGCCTTTTAGCCCGTTCAAACAATTCTTTTAATCACTGAGAAAGCTTGTGTAATGCTGACTTGCACGCTGGCATAAAACGATGCAGAGAAAAGTTTGGTTTATGCATTTTTGGTGTACCGCACGAATATGGGAAATGAGATTTGGATGATGTTACAATATCAAACCACTGTTTGGTGATAAGGTTGATCACTTCAATTTGAAATGGACTGAATGATGTAGTAGTAGCAGTGTTAGTAGTATTAGCAGTAGTAGTAGTTTTAGAAATAGTTATAGTAGTTGTCGTAGAAATGATAGTAGTAGTTATGGTAGTAGTAGTGGGAGTAGTAGTAGTTATAGTAGTAGTAGTGGTAGTAGTAGTAGTAGTAGAAGTAGTAGTAGTAGTGTTGGTAGTAATAGTAGTATTAGTATTATTAGTGGTAGTAGTAATAGTAGTAGTTATATTAGTAGTATTGCTAGTAGTTATAATAGCGGTAGTAGTAGTAGTTTAGTAGTAGTAGTATTAGTAGAAGTAGTAGTAGTAATATTAGTAGTAGTAGCAGTGGTAGTAGTAGTCGTAGTAGTAGTAGTAGTTATAGTATTATTATTAGTAGTAGTATTAATCGTAGTAGTAGTTGTATTAATAGTATTAGTAATAGTAGTGGTTGTAGTAATAGTAGCAGTATTAGTGGTAATAATGGTAGTAGTACTAGCAGTAGTAGTAGTGGTGGTGGTAGTATTGGTAGTAGTAGTATTAGCAGTATTAGTAGTAGTTATAGTAGTAGTAGTAGATATAATATTAGTAGCAGTATTATTAGTAGAAGTAGTGGTAGTAGTAGTAGTATTAGCAGTAGTTTTAGTAGTAGTAGAATTAACAGCAGTTGTAGTTGTAGTAGTAGTATCAGTAGTGGTAGTAGTAGTTATAATAGTAGTAGTTATAGTAGTAGTAGTAGTAGCAGTAGTAGTAGTAGTGGTAGTAGTGGTAGTAGAAGTAGTTATATTAGTAGAATTAGTAGTATTAGTAGTAGTAGTAGAAGTAGTATTAGTAGTGGAAGTGTTAATAGTAGTCGTATTAGTTATAGTAGTAGTAGTAGTAGTAGTAGTAGTAATAGTAGTTATCGTAGTAGTAGTGGTAGTAGTTATAGTAGTAGAATTATTATTAGTATTAGTAGTAGTAGTAATAGTAGTATTAGCAGTAGTAGTAGCAATAGTAGTAGTAGTATTAGTACTAATATTAGTAGTAATAATAGTGGTAGTTATAGTAGCAGTAGCAATAGTGGTGGTAGTAGTAGTATTAGTAGTAGTATTGGTAGTATTAGTAGTAGTTATAGTAGTGGTAGTAGTAGCAGTAGTTATATTACCAGTGGTATTGGTAGTAGTAGTTATAGGAGTATTAATATTAGCAGTATTAGTAGTAGTATTAGTAGTAGTAGTTATATTAGTAGTAGTAGTAGTAGTAGCAGTAGTAGTAAAAGTAGTAGTAGTGTTAGTATTAGTAGCAGTAGTAGTTATAGTAGTAGTAGTAATAGTATTTATAGAAGTAGCAGTAGTAGTAGTAGTGGTAGATTAGTTATAGTAGTAGTAGTAGGAGCAGAAGAAATTATAGTAGTAGTAGAAGTAGTAATAGTAGCAGTAGTATTAGTCTTACTGGTAGTAGTATTAGTGGTAGTGGTAGTATTAGTAGTATATATAGAAGTATAGTGGTTGACGTAGTAGTAGTAGTAGTGGTAGTAGTAGTAGCTATAGTAGTAGTAGTAGTAGTAGTTATATTAATAGTAGTAGTAGTATTTATAATGGAAGCAGTGGTAGTAGTAGTAGTAGTAATATTAGTAGCAGTTATAATATTAGTAGTAGTAGTATTAGTAGTATTAGCAGTGTTGTTAGTAGTATTTGTAGTAGTAGTAGTAGTTATATTAGTAGCAGTAGTAGTAGTAGTTATACTATTAGTTATAGTAGTGGTAGTAGTGGTAGTATTAGTAGTAGTAGTATTAATAGTAGTAGTGGTATTATTATTAGTAGTAATAGTAGTAGGTATAGTAGTAGTAGTGATAGTAGCAGTAGTGTTGGTAGTGGTAGTAGTAGTAGTAGCAGTAGTATTATTAGTAGTAGTTATAGTAATAAGAGTAGTAGTAGTAGAATTAGTACTAGTTGCAGTACCTAAATTAGTAGTAGTAGTAGTTGTATTATTAGTAGTAGAATTATTAGTTATAGTAGTACTAGTAGTAGTAGTATTAGTAGTATTATTATTATAATTATTATTAGTAGTAGTGGTAAAAGTAGCAATATTAGCAGTAGTAGTAGTAGTAATATTGGTAGTAGTATTTGTAGTAGTAGTAGTAGCAGTGGTAATTGCAGTATGTACGTTAGTAGTAGTAGTAGTAGTTGTATTATTTGTAGTAGTATTAGCAGTTATAGTAGTAGTAGTATAAGTATTCGTATTATTTTTATAATTATTAGTAGTAGTAGTAGTAGCATTAGTCCTAGAATTAGTAGTAATATTCGTAGTAGTATTAGTAGTAGTAGTAGTATTAGAAGTAGTGGTAGTAGTAGTAGTAATAGCAGTAGTAGTAGTAGTAGTAATGATGTTAGTAGTATTAGTAGTAGTAGTAGTGGTAGTAGTAGTAGTAGTTATAGTAGAAGTAGTAGTAGTAGTAGTATTAGTAGTATTTGTTATAGTAGTAGTAGTTGTTGTCATAGTAGTATTAGCAGTAGTATTAATATTATTAGTAGTAGTAATAGTGGTTGTAGTAGCAGTAGTATGAGTAGTAGTAGTATTAGTAGTAGTAATAATATTATAGTAGTAGTAGTAGTAATAATAGTAGTAGTAGTTATAGTAGTAGTAGTAGTTATAGTAGTATTAGGAGTAGTACTAGTAATGTTATTGAGAGTAATACTAGTAGTAGTTTTAGTAGTAGTAGTATTAGTGGTAGTAGTGGTAGCAGTAGTATTATTTATAGTATTATTGGTAGTAGTAGTAGTTATAGTAGTAGTAGTACTAAAAGCAAAATTAGTAGTGGTAGTAGTTATAGTAGTAGTAGTAGTAGAATTTATAGGAGTAGTATTAGTAGTAGTGGTAGTAGATATAATAGTAGTAGTATTAGTAGTATTGGTAATAGTATTAGTAATAGTAGTAGTAGTGGTAGTATAATTATTTATAGTAGTAGCAATAGTAGTAGTAGTAGTAGTAGTAGAAGAATTTATAGGAGTAGTATTAGTGGTAGTAGTGATAGTAGTAGTAGTAGCAGTGGGAGTATTATTAGCAGTAGCTCTGGTAGTAGAAGT